GCTGTGAATGAAATGCTAGCTGGATCTGCTGGAGTCTGGGGATTCTCCTATCACCCTTTCCTCTCACCCAGGAGCCTGGGGTAGAGATATGTACTACTGTGTCTGGCTTTGTGTAGGTTCCTGGCCTTGAACTCAGGTCCTTACGCTTGTGTGGCAAGTGCTTTACCCACTGAGGAATCTCCCCAGTCCACAAATCAGAATTTTTCGTATCCTTTTAAACCATCCTACAGTTTGCCATACTATGAGGATATCATGGTTTATTTAGAGGTTCAGTGTGTGCTCTTGCACGTGTGTACATGTATGTGCCTGTGTGTATATGAATATGTAGGCATGTGCATGTGTAGGCCAGAGGTTGATATCAGATGTCTTCCTCTGTAGCTTTCTACCTTATTCTTTGAGACAGGGTCTCTCCGTAAATCTGGAGCTCACTGGCTGGACAGCCGACTCCAGGGACTCACGTGTCCCCGCCTGAGATTACAGCCACTATGCCTGGCTTTTTACGTGGGTGCTGTGAATCTGACTCAGATCCCTACGCCTGTGCAGCAAGCACTTGGGCAGCTGAGCCGTCTTCCCAGCCCCTTAGCTTCCTTTTTGATACGTATTCAGGTTTCATTCACGTGGACAGTGGTGCTGGGGCTGGAACTCAGGGTCCCGAGAATGCTAAGCACCCCATCAACTGAAACAGGGATTAGAAGCTGCGTTTGCTAAAAACCATGGACTCCTCACTTGGGTCAACAAGGTATCTAAAGCAGACAAGGGCTTGTATCTGTGGTTCATTTCATGTCTGCATTTTGGCCTAGGACACAGGGACAAATCATATATTCTCAGCAATTAAATTCCTAAAAGAAAGCCAGCCCTAAGGTGGAGTCTAGAAGATTGACTGATTAGGATGTAGTGATTGTGGAGAGTTGGAATGTTGCAGATCCAGTTCTTGGGCTATCTTAAATATCCTTAACAGCTATTTCTTATTTACCTGTGTCTGACCTGGTATCATTGTGACTACCAGATAAAACCTTTCTGAATGTCCTAACAGACTACCAGCCCTAAAGCTAGGAATATCATGGGATAGCATCTGAGGCCCCTAGCCAGAGATTTCCCTGGTTTGCTTTAATCTGCTGACCTGTTGTCTCCACCAATATACATGGAAAACACCTTCAATATGGATCCTGTTACACGCTGAAGTGTCTTCATTACTGATCTTTACATTGCTTTGTACCATCACTGTAAAATTCTCACTAACCACTTTCCTCATTGGAACATGTATTTGGGTCAACTTGAATCCATGCTCCTGGGCCATGATCGTTGGTATTGGCTCAGGAATAAACTCTGTCTCGTTCTCTTTGAGGTGAGAGCTGTACTTGGCAGGGATAGGGTATGTACACATGCACATGTCAACCCTGCGTTTGCAATAATTTTCAGTGTTTAGCCCTTTTAATTAGCTTAAATGACGTTCACTGTTTTAATGCATGTTTCTCTCCTGGCAGTTAAGGCGAGCCCATCCTTTCCTTTCCCTTTTGGCCTTTTGCAGTTTTTGTTATCTGAGCTGTTTCCTCACATCCTGGGGCATCTATTCCCATCAGGCTGTACTTTTCTGTTGTTGTTAAGCTTTACTTTGTTTAATTATATGCATGTAGTGAGATATGTGCATGTGAGTGCGGTGCCTGTGGAGGACAGAAGGGAGGATCAGATTCCCCGGAACTGGGGTTACAGAGGGCTGTGAGCAGCCATGTAGGTGTTGAGAATCAACCCAGGTCCTCTGTAAGAGCAATCTGTGCCCTTAAAAACTGATTCTATCCCTCCAGCCCCTGTAATTTACTTTTAAATTGATATCTTTTAGGACTTTGATCAACAAAATTTTTAAAAAGATTTATGTGTTGTGTTGTGTTGTGTGTTGTGGGAGTTCGATCCGTTTAGCCAGTGACACTTGGGGTGACTTCCCTATGGGCGTGGTTGTCTCTGGATATGTGACTGGATAAGAACTGAGGAGAGGGGTCGAGCTCTCTCTCTTGGGTGGTCAGAGCAGGAACAGCGGTGGAGAAGCATGGTTTGCGGTTGGTCCTCATCACCCTTGGGCAGAACAGCAGGACAGTGGCAGCTGGATGAGCAGCAGCGGCATCTACTTTGTTTTGTAATTGTGAGTGTGTTATTCTCATTGCACCCCTTAATAAATTATTGACCAGACTTTTATGGGTTATCACTTCACCTGGCACTCAACTTGGCCTAACCCATGTTGGTCTTTAGGTCTCCCCCCACCCCACCCCAGCCTAAGTGCAGCCGTGTGTGTGGGGTGTGTGGGTGCCCAAGAGGCCAGAAGAGAGTGTCAGTGGGATCCTTTGGGTATAGAGTTGCAGGCAGTTGTGAGCCACCCAATATGGGTGCTGGGAATTGAATTCGGGTTCTCTGGATAAGCAGCCAGTGCTCTTAACCACTTAGCTGTCTCTTCTGGTCCTCAATAAAAACTTCAAGGACACTAGGAGTATAGCACAGTGGTGGCATGTGCTTAGCATGTTCCAGTTCCTGGGTTTAATGTCCAGCACCAAACAAAAACAAAACCAACCAAATGAACAGAATGCTATAAGGTTTTGTTTTGTTTCCATATGGACAGACCATTGTCTCAATTCAGTTTTGACTCTGATTCCATTTTTTTCTCCTTTTTAATATGTATTTATTGGGATTCTATTGGTCCTGTTTTTCTAGAGAACCCTGGAACACACAGACACAGATGCAGACAGTTGCCAGCTTACTGTGGTTGAAGGTACAATCTCTCAACTTTAAGATGGCGGAAGTGGTATGCCCTAAATAGAAACTGGGCTTCTGATTTGGGGTTTTATTGGTGGCACAAAGGTCCTTGCACCCACAGATCACTAGGCTACCAGGAACGTTAAACATACAGGGGCTTCTTCTCAATGGAGGAGATAAAATACCTGTTTTCCCGACCAGAAGGCTGAAGGCTGAGAGTGAATTTTGTTAGCCACCTGGTGACCGGTTTGCTGTCTGTGGAGGCAGACCTCACCCACCTTTTGCTATAGAGGCAGACCTCACCCACCTTTTGCTATAGAGGCAGACCTCACCCACCTAATTCCTCAGAATGATTATACCAGACTCTTCCCTCCCTAAACCATTAGCCATTCTTAGGGTAGATGTCACATGTACTTTATGGCCTGCTGACCTCCATGCTATCAGTCAGAAACCACACTAGATTCTAGGCATTTTAGCCATAGAACCCACCCTCACAGTCACATGTACTCTGTGAAAGAATCTCTACGTAGTCACACCTTAAGCTTTATTGTGCACCTAGAATTGGACTGATTGGACTGATTGTTGCCTGGAAACCTTTCCCCCAATTGTACTGTGTTTTAACTATGCCAACAATGAGTTGCCTGGCATTAGACTCGAAGTCTGATCCAAGTTGGTGAAGTCAATCTGCCCTGGGTTTTTATTCTCATCTTTTCGAGAGGTTCGCTTCCCTGTATGACATCTGGAGGGACCCCCTCAGGATTTTGATCTCCCTAGGTTAATTAAAGATAGACTTACGATGCTCTTCATGTGCTGGACAGTGAGTCAACGCTCCAAGGCAGCCACGTGATCACAGAGGTTAACAGTGACCAATATTCTACCTGTTCCATGTTGCTATGCTAGGATACGTGCTAGGCCAGGGAGACCCAGTGAATCTTCAAAGAATGGTATTTACAACTCAGTAAAGATTTATTGGGGCAAAACTCTTTCATAAGTGAAAGACTATGTACTTATGGGGAAACTAAAAGACAATAAAGTCAGTGCTCTGTGTGAGCCAGAGAATGGCCTATGTTAGTCACATTTTTGGTTCTGAATGAGTTTATTAAATATATAGCAAGCTAAAATGAAAGAATAGATAACAAATAAGTAGACATATAGATGGATAGATGAATAGATGATAGGTAGGTAGGTAGCTGAAATGGACTAAGGAAGCCCCTTTAAGGCAGCCAGCTTGAGTTTTCCACTTAGAGTCCCAGGAGGAGCAGTGTCCCCTCAGGTGAGGCTTCCAAGTCAAACAAATCGCAGCAGAAAGGTGACATCATCCACTTACATCCAGCAGACACTAGCTAGGGAAGTTAAGGCGGTCAGTCAGAGTGCACAGTTGAGCTTTCTCCTGTGTCTGAGCCTCCCTCCCGCGGCTGAGCCTCCCCTCCCGTGGCTGAGCTTCAGGCCCATCTCTTCCTCACTGCAGGCACTTTCACACCACGAGATAAACAATAGCGACCTGTTGGGATGGATCATTTTCCAGCTGTTCTCAAGGGTGTGCTCTTTTTACTGTTTTGCTGTTCTCTTCTCTCTGTCACAGAACTAGGGGGACCAGTTCATCTCCAGATAATCTTGAGGACACTTTGAGACAAACATGCTTAGGCCTGAAGTGTCAGCAGGAGATGGGGCCCCCTGCTTCCAGAGCCAGCTTTGCGGTGAACTCAAACAGCGCATGACGATTTACAGCATGTGCACCACAGCTAGCTAAGAAGATTCACTGTGTATGTCCCTGTAATGCCATCTCCAGCTGTCTACAGTGATGAGCTTGCCCTTCTCCGAGAAGGGAAAGGACACCTGTACAAGTTTATGTCCTATTTACAGACCACAAGGAGGCAGGCAGAGAGCTTCTCCCGACTCTCTCCCTCTCTCCCTCTCTCCCTCTTTTTCTCAGTTACCTTCAGTTCAAAACATTCTTCACATCAAAGCAGCATATTCTAGGGCAACATTTTTTGAGCTTTTCCTACAGAAAGGTCTGCAAAATCCACTGTGGACCACCCCCATCTTATAGTCCAAATACATCCTTCCCAGTTCACCAATGATGCCAGGTCCTAGAACCACCTAGGAGGGGGCAAATATCAGTCCCCTTGTGTTACAGATCACCCCTGTCTGAACCTCAAGGGAGTCCACAGGGGATCAATTTGAGTCAAGAACGAGGTTCCCAGGCAGGATCCATTCCTCTCCCTGAATGGAAACACAGCAAAACCTTTCTTGTTTTCCAGGTAATGCTGCTCAGAGAATGTTCATAGCAACATGGTAAGTTTCTTCTCCTCTCCACTCATCCTCCTTCTGTCTGCCTTCTCCTTCATCCTCAACTCTTCCCTCATCCTCACTTTCTCGCTTCCTTCCTCTTCCTCCTCTCCTCCTTTCTCCTTCTTCTCTTTCCTTCTATTCCTCCTTTCCCCTCTCTTCCCCTTCCTCTTTTCCCTTCTTTTTCCTCTTCCTCGTCCTCTCCTTACCCCTTCCTCTTCTCTCTTTTCCCTTCATCCTCCCTTTCCTCCCTTCTTTCACTCTCTCCTTCCCTCTCCCCCATCTTCTACCTCTTCTTCCTCCTCCTCTTAGACAAGGATAGAGCTTAGGCCTCATGCATGTTAAAGCACACTTTGTATGTCCCTGGCAGTCATGTGGTTCAGAATTTGTAAGATGCACAGATAAGCCTGAACCTCTATGCCCAGGAATAAACTTCGTATACCTGGTGTAATGGAACAAAAATTCAATTCTGCTTTGCCTTTTATGGTGGTTCGAATAGGTATGGCCTCCATAGATGCAAGTGTTTAAATGCTTGGCCAATAGGGAATGGCACTATTAGGAGGTGTGGTCTTGTTGGAGGAAGTGTGTCACTGCAAGGGTGGGCTTTGAGATCTCATATGCTCAAGCTCTGCCCAGTGTGGCACACAGTCTCCTTCTGTTGCCTGCAGATCAAGATGCAGAACTCTCAACTCCTTCTCCAACACTATGTCTGCCTACAACCACCATGCTTCTCACCATGACAATAATGGTCTAAACCTCTGAGCTGTAAGCTAGTCCCAATTAAACATTTTCTTTTATAAGTGTTGTGGTGGTCATGGTGTCTCTTCACAGCAACACAACTCTAACTAAGACATTTTTTAAATGTTAGAGGCTTTCAAGAAATAAACTGACTGACATGTTTGGAGGAAAAAAAATGAGTTTGTGTCCATCTTTTAAAAGCAGAGATTTGAGCTAAATTCCAGCTCACCAATCTTTATTAAGGAACTGCTTAGAGGTGAACACTGTGAGGCTGTGGTGCTGCCTCAGGAAATATGTCAGCTGGGCCAGCAAGATGGCTCAGAGAGTGAAGGTACTTGCTGCCAAGTCTGGCAGCCTGAATTTTACCTCTAGGACCCATATAATGGAATAGAAAACCAATTCATGCAAGCTGCCCTCTGACTTCCACATGTGGCTTATATTGCCCAACACACACACACACACACACACACACACACACACACACACACACACACACACACGCTTTGTTTTGTATGGTCCAGAGAATGATCTGTGATAGCCATGCTTTCAGTTTTGAATGAGTGCATTTATTAAGTATATAGCAAGCTAAAGAAATAGAATAAATAAGAAATGATAGATGATAGATAGATAGATGACAGACAGATAGTAAAATATTGCTCAAAACATCAGCAGAAATCACCTGGGAAAGGCCCCAAAGGCAGCTAGCTAGACTTCACAATAGAGTCCTAGGCAGAGTGGACTGTCCCCTCCAGTGAGGCTTCTAAGGGTAAGAACAAATTGCAGCATGAAGGAGACATCCTCATGACATCCAGCGGAAACCAGCTGGGAAAGTTGAGGCAGGCCGCTGGGGTTCCTGGTTGAGTGCTCTCTCCAAGGCTGAGCTTTCCAGGGCTGAGCTCCTGGCTTCTCTCTTCCTTCAGGTTCCTTTGCATCATGGAATAAACAATAGTGACCTGCTGATTTTGAAATGCTGCGCCTTCCAGCTGTTCCCAAGGACATCCTGGTTTTACTTTTGAGCTGCTTTGCTGCTGTCTCCTCCCTGTCACAGAGTTAGGAGCAGCTCATCCCCAGATTAGGGGCCTTGGGGGACACTTTGAAAGAAGCGTGCTTGGCTCTGAAGTGGGAATGGGGAGTGCTTCCAAGCTCAGGTTTTTGGTGAGTTCACACAGCACATAACTGTTTACCAATGTAAATACACTGACACACAAAAGAAATAGATAAACATAAGAAAATTTTTAAAAAAGATGTGCCACTTAATACAGTAGAGAACATTGAATAGGGTAGAAGATTGAAGAATAACACAGAAAACAAGAGAGGCTAAAAGAAGGGAGCCAGTGCAGGAGGACTTCTCTCCTCAAGAAACATCAAAGAAGAAGGAAGGAAGGAGCGAGAAGGAAGGAGGGCAAAGCCCTGTCCCCCCATCATGCACTCAGACGTTGGGATGGTGTGGACTCTCAGATCTTAGCGGGTACAATATTAAACTCACCCCCACGCCCATTCTGAGGCCACACCACTTCTTCAGACTACATAGTGATGCCGCATGTGCCGGGATACAAGTGATCCTAGATCCCCAAAGGATGATAGGAGGAGGACTGTAAGTTTGAGGCCTCCCTGGGAAACAAAGTGAGTGAGACCATGTGTCAAAAACAGACCAACATGTAGACCCCTGGAGTAAAGAGGACAGAGATGAAACTGAGGTGTCGTGGGCCTGCAATCGCAGCTCTCAGGAGGCGACAGTGGGAAGACTATAAATCTGAGGCTCACCTCGGCTCTATCTCGAGATTGTCTTAAAACCACATGGTGGGGCAGGGCAGAGGAGGTTTGGGGAGAGGAACTAAAGCAGCAAGCTGGTTGGTGTTGTACGACACATTCATCAGGTTCTTTCCTAAATGCTAAGGCATCATAGGACCAATCAATAGCTGATGTTTCCTGATGGTGTGAATGCAGGACAAAGTGCTCCCCACCTTAATGGAAGTAGAAATCCTGCTGAGCTGGCAGGTCCTGCTCCCCTGAGAGCTGGAGCTGCCTCAGGAAGTTATTTAATTCAGGCTAAACATAAGCCAGGGGCATTCAGGAAAGCCATCAGTCAGGGGAGGCTGATTCAAAAACACTTTGAACTAGGAGAGTTCTTCCAGGTCTCAGTGGAATCTCTGAGATGCACTCGAAGGATGTTTTTTCTTATCCAGGGATTCCTCACATATGTTTTCTGAATGTTTGAAATGCTGCTCCTGAGAGATGCCTTTAAAAAGAGAGAGGACAAAAATGAAAAAGAAAAAAGGAAGAGAATTGAGTAAAAAAATGTAGAGGAGAATTGAGTATAAAAATGGGGAACTGGCCGGGCAGTGGTGGCGCACGCCTTTAATCCCAGCACTCGGGAGGCAGAGCCAGGTGGATCTCTGTGAGTTCGAGGCCAGCCTGGTCTCCAAAGCGAGTTCCAGGAAAGGCGCAAAGCTACACAGAGAAACCCTGTCTCGAAAAACCAAAAAAAAAAAAAAAAGGGGGAACTGAAGAGGTGGTTCAGTGGTTAAGAGCATGTGCTTGCTGTGGGATGGTCTGTATGTCAAATGTGTTGCTGATTGGTCAATGAATAAATCACTGATTGGCAGTGGCCAGGCAGGAAGTATAGGCGGGACTAACAGAGAGGAGAATTGAGAGAACAGGAAGCTGGGTGGGGGGGACACTGCCAGCCGCCATCAGGACAAGGAAGATGTAAAGTACCGGTAAGCCACAAGCCACGTGGCAAGGTATAGATTAATAGAAATGGATTAATTTAAGCTGTAAGAACAGTTAGCAAGAAGCCTGCCACGGCCATACAGTTTGTAACCAATATAAGTCTCTGTGTTTACTTGATCAGGTTTGAGCGGCTGTGGGACTGGCGGGTGAGAGAGATTTGTCCTGACTGTGGGCCAGGCAGGAAAACTCTAGCAACATGTGCTGTTTTGCAGAGGACCCGAGCTCAGTTCTCAGCACCCAAGTCAGGCAGCTCACAATTGTATAAACTGATGACATGATTGCTGCGTGGTATGGTTATGGGTAAGGTTTTTATTATAGATATGAGAGAGAATAGCCAGAGGCATCTGGGAGAGTCTAGAACACAGAGAAAAAGAAATAGACTGAACATGGCCAGCAGACTGGACCTGGCTAGGGCTACCTGTGAGAGAGGGGAGAATGGCAGGAGAGAAAGAAGAGAGAAAATGTAGTGAGAGAAGCAGAACAGAGGAAGGGAGAGAGGGAGAGAGGGAGGGAGAGAGGGAGGGAGGGAGGGAGGGAGAGAGGGAGGGAGGGGGGGGGAGGGAGGGAGGGAGGGAGAGGGGAGGGAGAGAGGGAGGGAGGGAGAGAGGGAGAGGGGAGGGAGAGAGGGAGGGAGGGAGGGAGAGAGGGAGAGAGGAGAGAGGGAGGGAGGAGAGAGGGAAGGAGAGATGAGAACAACAGACTATAAGTAGCTGTGGGAGGGAAGTCCATGAGCTGGATGGAGTTTTGAGCAGGGTTCGGGGAGAGAAGGGCTAGGATACAAGCAAGGACTTTGAAATGTGTAACAGGTACTTGTGATACTAAGGGATCCTGGAGCCAGCATGGGCTTTGATATGCTGATAGGAACCAGAGGTAGCCATGTCCCTTCTGCCAGAGGTAAGGGAAATGACCCCTTTGGTAGAGGGGAATCAGTTTCACAAGTTCCTGAGGAATGCTGGCTTTTATCTAACTGCCAGAAATCCTCCTGTAGTCCAGGTTGAGCATATTTCTGGATATTTGGACTGCCTTTTGGAATTTTGGAGTTCTCTTTGGACCTGACAACAACTACCTGTAACTCTAGTTACAGATGGTCTGATACCCTCTTCTGGCGTCATAGATACCTGCACTCATAAACACACACACACACACACACACACACACACACACACAGAGAGAGAGAGAGAGAGAGAGAGACAGACAGACAGACAGACAGACAGACAGACAGACAGAGAGACAGAGAGAGAGAGAGAGAGAGAGAGAGAGAGAGAGAGAGAGAGAGAGAGAGAGAGAAAAGAATTTAAAAAGAAAAATATGGTGGTATTTTGTTTGTGCTCTAACAAATAAAGCTTGCCTGGAGATCAGAGTGTGGAGCTAGCCACTAGAGGCCAGGCAGTGGTGGCACATACTTTTAATCCTAGCACTTGGGATCTCATGCCTTTGATCCCAGCACTTGGGAAGAGGAATCAGGAAGTGATACAGCTGGGTGGAGAGAGGAAGTGATAAGGCGAGGTGGAGACAGGAGCTCGGCCCTTTCAGGCTGAGGATTCAATAGAGGTAAGAAGTGGCTATGGCTTGCTTGTTTGTCTCTCTGATCTTTCAGCATTTACCCCTATATCTGACTCTGGGTTTTTACTATTAAGACCAATTAGAATTCACACTAAAGAAAAAAAATTTGTGGAGTCATAAGGAATTTTAGTTATTAAGACCAAAGTTGACTCCCCCCATTATAGTCAATACCTCAATAGGAACAAGTTAAAAGTATTAAAAGTAATTTAAAATTTCAAGTTGCAAAGCAAGCATGTTGTCCTCAGAGACCTGAGACCACACAGTAGGATTAATAAGGGTAAAGGGACACATGCCCAAAAGAGCTCGTGGATGTGACTTATGCTTGTGTCCAAATGCTTGGACTAGAATCATTGGGAGTTTGGATATTTTAGGATGTTGAAATATTTGCATATGCAAAATAAGGTCTCCTAGGGAAGAAATCTGTAGAGGGCACAGCTTACAGACAGCACTAGAAAAATCAGAATTGGGGCTGAAGAGATGGCCCAGCCATTAAAGGCTCACAACCTTTAGAGACCAGAATTGTTAGACAGGCAGGCTTTTCTCTTCAATGGAAGGGATGCGCATGCCTGTTTTCCTTCTGGAAGGCTGGGAGTGTAAGTGTTAATACCTGGCAATCTTTGCTATCCCTGTAAATCCCCCAGAACCCTGAGCAATGTCTCCTGGGCAATAGAACCCATCTTTATGCTTATTACAAATCCTTCCCCACTAGGCCCAGACTCCTGAGCTCTGTTTCTTGGTCAATAGATCCCAGCCTCATGGTAAAGGTCACAAGGACATTGCTAAAGAGATATAGGGGGGTTGCAAGGGAGTTTCAATGTGGCCATGCCTAAAGCTTTGTTGTGATAATTGTCACATGGATGCTCTTTCCCAAAGTTTTACTGTGCTTGAATGTGTAAGAAAAATAAACCACTTGATCAGACTCTGGAGTTTTTTGGCCCAATAACAGCTGTGGTAGTTCGAATGTAATTGGCCCCCATAATCTCACAGGGAGTGGCACTACTAGGAGATGTTGCTTTGTTAGAGTGGGTATGGCCTTGTTGGAGGAAGTGTGGAGGTCGGATTTGAGGTTTCCTAGGCTCAGGATACCACCCAGTATTTCAGTCGACTGCCTGTTGCCTGCAAGATGCAGGACTCTCAGCTACCCCTCCAGCACCACATCTGCCTTCACACTGCCATGCTCCTCATCGTAATGATAATGGACTGAACCTCTGAATTGTAAGCAAGCCACTCCAATTAAATGTTTTCTTTATTAGAGTTGCCATGGTCATGGTGTCTCTTCACAACAATTAAACCTTAACTAAGACACCAGCTAAAGACTTGCGAACCCGAGAATCATTCTTAATCTCACCCAGATTTTTTTAGCTGCAGACTATGGTGGGACACCCTCCCCCTCAGGAACTCAAGTTGTTTAAGTTTCACGTGCCCCTCACATATGTACCTGGAGGTGTTTCTTCGTATGATTTTTATTCATGAAAAACATATGTGAAGGTGTTTCTTCTTATGATTTTGTTTGTGAAAAAAAATTGTGTGCATTGACTCATAGGATCTGTGGTTTTGTGTCCATATTGAAAACATGTCAGAGCTGGAACATTTGGGGTTGTTGGTTTGGGGCTGGGACTGTTCCAGCTGTGGGGAAAAGAGTAGGAACGGACTCTGCTGGAGCTGCTGAGACCCTTCCTTGTCCTAGAGACACAAAGGAAAGTATCTGTTTTCTCTGCTCTTGGCTGCTAACCCCCAAACAAAGCTGTTCCTGGGATATAGGGTCCCTGGCCTTTTTGATTTCTGTGTTTTGTCTATATATAAAAGTTGGTTAAGAGGTGCAGTTCAAAGGCTCTGGGTGCTGGAATTCATGTAGGTACTGTGTGTGAGTATCTGGAGTGTTGGGAAAGGGCGGGGATGCCATTCATTTAGTAGAATACTTGCCTAGCTCTCACTCCTCAGCACCAGGAGTTTGTTGGTGCAGATCTATAATCCCAGCATTTGGAAATAGAGGCAGGAGAATCAGAAGTTCAGGTCAGCTCCATATGGAGTTCAAGGCCAGCCTAGGCTACAATGAGACCCTATCTCTAAATAAATAAAGAAGATAGAATGCTGGGAGGGAAGAGGTTTGTCTGTACCTGTCTGTCAGTCCATGTGGAGATGTCTTCTAGACATCCACTCTTGGTCCTGCGATGCCAAGCTTGTCCATCCCACCAACCTCACTTCCACTATGAGATGGAGGTGGTGAAGAAAGCCTTATCACCTCTGAGATCACCATCAGTGTGGAAGAGCTCACCAGCAGCTGTGCAGAAGGGTGACGCCCAGCTTTAGGAGGAGCCAGAGAGTCTAACGGAGCCAGTCACCACTGTCCGAGTGTTTCTGTGCCCAATGACAGACCTTTCCATATTCTTAGAGTCTCTGCTTAGAAAACAGGTTGTCAAGAAGAAGTCGTTGCCGATATCTCTGATGACTGCATGCTGTGACTGGAACATGTTCCCCTCATGTGGGAGACCATACGTTGATGATATTTGTTAAGGCCGTGCCCTTGGAAGGTTATTAGTGTTTGATGACAGCATGAGAGTGGGGCCCTTTGAGATGGCACTAGTGGCTTCGTAAGGAAAGGAAGGGACTTGAGATGTTGCATCTCTCTTTCTCCCCTTGTGATGCCCATCCCATGTTAGGATACGTCAAGAATATGCCAGCATCTCAGACTTCTCAGCCTCAGGAAACATGAGCACATAAACCTTTCTTCTCTATAAAATAATAGGTCCCAAACATTTTGTTACATCAATTGAAAACGAACTAAGACAGCGTGCTTCATGCTGTTTCGTGGGTCTGAATAATTTAATAGTTTTGAGTTCTTAAGCATTGCCTGTGTTGATGGGAATGTCAGCTTTATTACAGTGTGTGATGTCTTACTCCAATAAAATCTCATCTCTGTGTATCCCAGTGACATATTTTCATGTGCATGAATCTATTGTAGCTAGGCCTCCTCTTGTTTGGGAAAGATAATCTACAATGAGGATAATTAAATTAGATTCTGAATGTTATGAATTTAACTATGAATATTCTAGTAGGACTTTTGTTTTAGCTTAATGCTAAAATCACTCAGACATGGTAATGACGTTGGTCCCCAAAATGGGACAGTGTGGAAACCATGGAAATGAAAGGTGTGATGGGAAACACAGGTATATTGCTTGGAGACCACCTGGCACACTTCAGCTGGCAATCTAAAGGACTAAATTTAGAACGCAGGAACAAAGCCTAAATGTTACTGGAAGCTGTTTCTTCTCCAGATCCCTGGGATCAAACAGGCCATTTGGATGTGAAGTGACCAGAATTTCAGATGGAGTCTGCAGGGAGCAGAGCAAGCCTGCTTGTTACTTGACAGTGGGCTAGCCCTAAGCCTGGACCCTTCCCACAATCAGTCTCAACATCCATAAATTGAGGCATGTTCAAGATTGTGTTAAATCTAAGAATGCTCAGAAGCCAGAGAGTCTCACTGTTGGTGGGAATGTTTGGCAAGCAGCTGAAATGGACAGAAACTCCATTAATATGTTTTGAGGGTGATAGAGCAGACATCTTCCCTGACCCCCCAGTCCTCATCCTATGTGGTTCCAGGAGCAGGATAGGCTTCCAGTGCCCTCTATCACAATATCCAAACAGTCCTGGGTGGAGAAAGGAGACAGGGATTGTCTAGATCCCCTGAGCTGTGTATTCCGACGCTTATTGCTCATGCTGACAACTCCAGACATGGCTGACACGCAGAACTCAGAGGAAGTTCCACGGTATATGGCCCGTGTTGGAAGCTCACAGTCCCTCTCTCTTGAGCTCTGATGGTCAGTGTGTCCTCAACTCACATGGTCTGGTGACCATCCATGATATTGCCAGTGTAAGTTGGCTGCATGGCAGGACTTGCCTTGTAGCTGGGAGTGT